GTACATAAAATTTTCAATTCATGTTTGCTTGATAAAGTAACAATTGAGATTTAATAAATCCAATTGAATTTCATTATAAGTAATTAAATTTTAGTGCATGAAAAAAATTATAGTAATTAAATCTTAATTAAATATTTAAGAACATTCCAAAATAATGATGATTTAATGACATGAGAAGCCATGTCAGACTTCAATGGGTCACATTGCATCTAAATAACCTGTGGCATCCATTCATACTAGAGGACCGTTACTTTTTAACGGAATATTGACATGGCTGTTAAATAAGGGTTGATTTGCCACTGTTTACGAGTTTAAGGGGTCATGTGCTACTGATTTCAGTTGAGGGGCTTTTTTGCCACCTCTTGACATGTTCAAGGACTAATATGCATGATATGCCTAAAATATTACTGGACTTTGCGCATGTAAAACCCAATTTAGTGGCATGATATGACGTGAATTACCTGCTGACATGGTCCCTGATTTACTGACCTGGACTAATTATTTCCCTAAAAACTCACCCGCTCCAAAGCTTAAAATTGGGGATATAGGTTTTTGTCCCTGTGAAATCCATTTTTGCCATCAAAATGTCAGTATCCGCTTCTTGTTGTAGCCTCCATTTATGTTACCAAAGTGTGAGTTTTCTTATTCCACCCATTATTTATCTATATCTATATATTAAATGCTTTCATTCACCATCTGCATGTTTTTTTGATACATAAGAAAGTTAGATGCTTTATATTACAAAAGGTTGAATTTAAAATTTTAAATTAATAAATACTAATTCGGTCAAGTTATTGTTAAGCTTACCACTTGTATATACTTGTATTGTTGTTGAATCTACTTCGGGTAGAAAGATAGGTATTCAAAGTACAAATATGCTATATATGCACCATCTGTACAGTATTCCAAAGTAATATTATGTTATGATCCAAAGGAACGACAAAGATTAATAGATGAGGTTTTTTGGGGGTTTTTTTTCCTCAATCGGTGTAATATTCTGAACTATTCATAAACATCACAGCAAATAGGATTAAAACATTTATGGCTCCCACATAAATAAGTAACTGGGCAGCGGCTACAAAATGAGAAATGAAAAACTAAATTCTTTAAAACTAAATTGTTTTGGGACTCACATGGTGACATGGCTATTATTCTGACTATACGTACAATGACGGACATGTTATTTCGTTATTCTTCCCCATTAATTTTACCGTAATTCTTTCCAAGATATATATTATGAAATAAGGGGAAAATGATAGTAAAACAGCAAAGCGTTGTAATGAACTTCTTATTGTTTCATCAATCATTACCGTATAAATTTATAGACTTATGTATAGGTTAAAGGAAAAAAGAAGTTACATTAACTATTAAAACTTAAGTGGCAGCATGAATACCCCTATGAATACCCTATAATAGAGTTATGAATACCACAACGTAGAGCCATGAATGGTAAGTGGAAATTGGTTGCAAATGGAAGATTGGTGATGAGGATGAGGGTGAAACATCCACTAAGAGAAAAATTCACAATGACATGCAATTTAAGGTCTAAATTTCTCATATTATTTGTTGAGGGGCGAAACCCTCGTAGACAAAAAGTTGAGAGCACCTTTGGGGGTTAAGCCAGAAACATCCTTCAATTTTTAACAGGGAACAAAACAACGTTTCCTATCCTGGCACATGCCAAATCATTAACAAATTTAAGTTCTATAGAGTGAACGTGGGCAAAGGCGTCTAGTACGTCATGGAAAGCAAAAATGTTGAAGTAAAGCTCCTTCAGGCCGATGTCTGCATTGAGGGTGAATTCATCCTGGACATGACACAAACACAGTTAATATAATCAGCCTAGCTAATTGCATACAATATATGAATACATACCTTTGCAAAATCATGTCCATCTTCTTCGTATGCTATGCTCAATTGGAAATCATCAAGCCGCACGCCAAAACTGGTGCTCAAACAGCAATCTTCCTGAAAATAATATGCCCACTGATCAAACAGCAGTCATCCTGAAAATAATTTGCCCACCACCAATCACTCATAAGTTCCTGTATGGCACATACCAATTTTAACACTGTACATACCTTTTCTAGACTCTTATCTTTCAAAGCTCTGATGGTTATCCTCTCACAAAGCTCTGTCAATTCTCTCCTAAATACTCCTGCACGCACCATCACTTCACGTCCCCTAGTCTGACTCAAAAAGTACTCCAGTGGTTGTTCATCCTCCATATATGTAACTGTGGCCTGTTCCCCAGTAAACTCTATCCTGTATTCTTTTCCTGTTAAAATGAATTGAACACAATTAAAAATTAATAAGAAAAGAGAAAATTAAGGGAAAAATATACATAAACAAATTCTCACCTAAACCGCTCAGAATGGCTCTAGATATTTTATCATTCACACCACCAGAAAGCGGGCTCTGGTCAAAGATTAAGGTTCTAGGTGTGACAAGCTCTTCTCCTTTCTGCAGGATGATCAATCTGGCCACCCCAGCATTAACATCAAGTTTAAGAGTAGGTTCTGGTGAGTAGATGCACATAGACAGAAAAAAAGGTCATAAAGCAATACCAAAAACAAAAAGAACACAAAAAAAAACAAAGATAGACTGGTGGACAGAATGTTTCAAGGACTTTGAGTTTGGTTAGAAGATACCCTACCCAAATGGTGGTCTGGTCTGGGGAATAATATTAAACACACCGGCATATCAAGATCCTGCAACAGGTTATTAAGCTCCAAAATTTTAACATTTCTCAGCTCAAACTTGCCACTTCCAGTGACGCAGGTCTGAAGATCAACATCGTCTGCCACGTTCACAAGTGCAGCAACTCGGTTTCCTTCTGATGTTAATTCAATAATAAGGCCCAGCGGGGAGCCATGTATGTGAGCTGCTGGTTCAGATACAGTCTGGTACAGCCTTGTTAACAAATGAATTCCCTGACAGAATTCTGTTGCCGAGTTCTTGTTGAATGTGAAAGTTGTCCCATCCATTCTTAGGAATCTGCACATCATCAATCATAACAGTACAGTGAACCAAACACAAAGGAAACAGTCATAGAGCTACTTTCAAAGAATCTCTAAAATCAGAAAAGAACAAGATTGCTAAAACAATTTAATTCAAAGACATTACTTAAACAGAGGAGTCAATATGAGAGACTGTCATTTCAAAATTAAATCTTCAATATATTACAATTCAAAATATAATTAAATCTATAACCCTTTTTAATGCATTAGAACTACGTATATCAGAGCTATCAATTAAAAAGTTGTAGCTTCATGGAGAAAACACAGGCCAAAAATCATAAACGGCTACCGGAGCTACTTTCAAAGAATCTCTAAAATC